GTTGTGTCATTGCTCCCTTAAACTTTCACGTGAACTTTAACCCACACATACGCTTACCACCTTCCGTGCTCGTCAACGCCGTATGACCACTTGACGTGCGCCCACACAAGCACACCCGCAAATGGTGAGTGTTTTTATTTACCTTGCGTTGCCAATCGTCCTCCACACCAGCGTTCGGCCTCATGTTTCTGTGTATATTTGGTTACACTATCACGTATAGACAAATTTCACCCACAATTTACCATTATTGCGGGTTGACCCCCATTTGTATGCATTGGCATAGTCGAGCATGTGGTTGGTTTCCCTTTGGGGTACGAAGACCCAACAGAAAAAATGCGGTGCAGTTGGCAAAGCAATGGAACATAACTTTCAATGCAAGTCATGTCAATTCGATCGAGCTTTCAGTAACTAGAGAAGTGTTGTTTCCAAGCCCAAATGAAGGAAATTCTAAGTTCTACATCTACTCTTTTTAACAGGTCCTAACAATTATAACTAGTAGGGATTTGGTTTTCAAGACCAAGTAGAAAAAAGCTTGAATTTTGCAGAAATCTAATTTTTAGCAAATCATAAGAATAATAAGGAGCAGATGCTATACAAATTTAATATATTTGATGTGTATAATTTTTGGTTGTTTATTGATTTGTTTACGGGAATTGAAAGAAGCGGAAGGAATTTTTGAAATTGTGTTATATGGAAAGTAGGCSTGGTTGTAGTCCACCAATACCAACTTACAACTTTGCGCCTTAATTTGGAGCTTAATTTTAGCACTTTCTAGCTTTTCGATTGATGACGTTTTATGGKCGTAGCAATATTTCTATAATACCAAAACTCCGTGGGCGTCAAGCACGTATTTACCAGTTTACATTAAGATATCTCAGCTTTTTCACAAGTTATCGTTTRTACGAACAGACAGCCACTCACCCGGATTTCAACCCATTTCATCATTCCGATTATTAAGTTAGTTTAGTTTTAGGTGATACAAAMAACTGTTAAATAAACAAAACTATTTTACTTGATAGCAACATGTTGCAARAGTATAAAAATGTGWYATAAGAATAAAAATGTGGAAGAACCACTCGCAAAAATTTCTCACTGGGTACGCACCACTAAACATTCACCTAACGACATTTGTATCTGTATGTGTAAGGAAAAGCTATTTGCCAATGTCCATTCACTCAAGACCTTTCAAATTTACCTTAACAAATTCTATGCTCTACACTTGGAGAGCAAGCACATTTAGAGGGGGCAGAATGCCTTGCCCCAAAGCCATCACACATCTTCGGTTTTTACCCACAGAGCAACAGAAATTGCAATGCACCCCAACAGTAGCGCCGAGTGGATGAACTATCATTTTTGCCCCTCGAATGCATCTGAATATTGGTTTTTGAACGAGTTCGTGTGCCACTTTTGAAGCCACCACTCGGCGCTCGTTTACTTAACAGTTTACTGCCACTTTTTGCTCCCTTTTTTGCTGTTTTTCTTTTTTCCACTTTTTTTTTTTTTTTGGCTTTAGACATTTTTGCTTTTGAATTTTTCATTTCGTTTTAGTCAGCCTCGGTTGACGGCAGTTTTATCCCCTACCGATTTTTCCTCACTGTTGCAAGCAAGAGTATATTTGCAGGTATGTGACGTAACACGCGCGTACGTTGCGTTATCACGTTGTCAGCGCTGCACGTGCTGGCATCACTACCATAGCTGCTGTTGTTGTGCTTGCTGTTGTTACGGCTTAATTGCAATGCGTTAAAATGGCGCTCTTCCATACAATTAACATTGGATTTTCAACAATTTGCCCGCACACTCAACACAGACACACACACACATACATCCAAACAAACCGATCTATGCGCAAGTGAAAAGTGTCGGTGCGACTGTGTGCGTGTTTGTACTTCGTATGTGCGGGGGGGAGAAACTTTATAAAAAATATCAACTGCCAGCTACACTGACATACATACACACTCGAATACTTTTCTGTGCGCATTTATATAATCCGTACAATATGTAAGTGCGTGTGTGTTTGTGCGTGTATTCATGCGTGTTTTTGTAAATGGCGAAAAAATTGTTCGGTTTTGCAACTCAACAGAGCTTCAAATTGGTTTCACTGCTATCTGAGCGATCCCGATGCCTGAATGCCGATGCTGAAACTTGTCGCTGCTTTATTTAGCCTTTAAAGTTAAACTCGCGCTGTGCGCTTTGTTATGGGCGTTATGTCACTCACTCACTCTCTCTTCCTCTCTAGCGGTATGTGTGTGTTTGTGTGTATGTATGTATGTGTCTAGTTGGAAATCTATCAGGTGTCAGAAATATTTGGTGTTTGGTGTTTGGTGTTTTCTTCTTGAAGTTCAAGTAATGCATTCTCCAGATCTAGCCCCCTTCGACTACTTCCTGTTCTCAGATCTCAAGAAAACTGCTGGGAAGAATAATTCGTCGAAGGAAGAGGAGATCGACAAAACTGATACATTGAATCAAAGAACTACAAAACAGGTATCGAAAATTTGGAGGGCCGCTAGGGTTGTATCAAAGTGCTGAAATCGCGAACCTCATTGAACACACTGACAAATGACTTTGACACAAATCCATAAATAAATATGGCCGCCATCAGCTTTTCAGTTAATGGTCGAAGGCTTGAGATTTTCGATGATAATTTTGATTTTTTAGAGAAATTGAAATATAATTTTTTAAAATTTTTTCTTGTAATCCGATTTTTAGACACCGCATTTTTCAGGTAATGAACGAATGATGGAGAATTTGGTTGATGGAAATTATCATTAAATTCTAATTTAAGTTGAAAAATATTTTTTTCTACAATTTTGTTTCTGGGAAGCCCTATTGCTAGACGCTGTATATGATCAGGTAATGATCGAAGGTGTCAAATTTTCGATTTTTTAAACCAAATTGAGAAACTTTTTGGAAAGCCGAAATGTTGTCAAAAAAATACCAGGAAAAAAACCTTTTAGTATTTATATAATAAGTTGTCTTAATTTTTGTATTTGAGGCTATTTAAATCAGTTCCGTAAACCACTTTAACTTTGTCTTCTACTAAGGCATTCAATTTCCTAGCGGGTTTCAAGTGCGAACAACATTAACGTTTGGTAATTGAAGTTTACGATATCTCTACGTCGATATGTGAAAGTCAATGGATTAAATGGCGAATTGAGACATTCAAGGAGTATTCAGATGACAGCTCGTTTGTTTTTGCCGCTCTTTTTTTCTCGTTTTATGCCCTTTTGAGCGTCATAATCCATATACGCTTATGAAACAAATATGCGAGTACATAAAGAACACACACAACTTGCAGTAAACGTATATGTAACAGCATGGGCTTGCTGCAGTGCAGAGCAAAATATTCGTTTATTGCCACTGGGACAAATATACACAAACCCTACCACAGTTTACACACGCATATATATATACAATCGTAACTTAAGTGGCGGCAAATGAAATGATAGCAAAGTGGAGCGATTATGTTTTTTAATTAAGTAAATTGGAGCTGCTGCATGCTGACTCGTGGAGGGGAGCGCACTAAAGCGGTATACAGTGCATAGATAATCATATGAAATGGACAATTTAAGAACTGCGAAATGCCCTAAATGGATTAGCGCATATAGCTTTATATATAGAGCTAGTTACATATGGATTTGTTTGTGTGAAGATAAGTGCTCGTGGCTGCCATGCAGATAAGTAAGCTGGAGTGTTGGTTAAAAAATATGCGCTAAGGATTATGTGCAATATATAAAATTATGTATATGAACTTGGGATAATCTCATGGCTCGTTAGCGGTAAGCCAATTATTGCTAGCTAAGTTGGTGAAGTTATTAACTAAATTATGGAAATCAAGGTTTGCTAACAGGCAAATTTGAGTATATAAAATGACTTCAACACAAGCAGGCAGGGAAAAGTATGTCAAGAATTGTAATCGAGAGGGCAGCGTGTTCGCTTCGTCGATCTTAGGGTGCCCGTTATTTCCCAAGTTCGTTCGTTTTTAGAACTCGTTCCCCAAAGTTTAAGTTTTTGCTCTAAAAATGGATCCAGATTTTTTTTTTTTCAATTTAAACCGTTCTTAAATCATAACATTTTTCACGATGTTTGTAAGAGCCAGAAAGAAACAGCGGATACCCAATAAAGTATATACATATGTAAATGATCAGCAGGGCGAATTGAGTCGAATTAGAGTCTGTATGTCGGGTTGACCAGCCTTCTGTCTGTATATATCCGAACTAGTCCCTCATTTATACCTAAAAGTTTGCACACGTTCTTTTCTACTGAAAAAATTAAAAATTGCACTTCTGTCCAAGCAGGCGATGTCGGACCACTGTAGGAAATAGCTGCCATACAAACTGAACGATCGGAGCAAAGTGCTGTATGGAAAACTTTTACATTTGAAGGGTTATCTTCAAGAAATTTGGCATACGCTATTGCCTCACGCAATAATTCAATCTCAGCAGAAATTATTCAAATCGGATCACTATATCATATAGCTAACATACAAACTCACCGATAAGAATTCTTGCAAGATATCTCTTGTAGTTGTGGGGGGTATTATAGCATCGATAGAACCGAAGTTAAGGTTTGATCTCGTTCTATCTTAAACCTACACCGAATTCGCGTACCTTGCTTTCAGCGACTTTTCCCTGCTTTTAAACTTCAATGGAATGCTCGCTGGAACGTATGTGTTTTTACGACAATGCGGTAGTATTTGCCGAAGCTAAAGTCTATGTTGAGCAGAAAAAAGAGTTTTTGACCATCTGGTCCGAAAGCTAAGCTAAATAGCTGCAATCGCGCAAATCTAAAGACAAGAACTTGAACGCAGATGTTTCAATTGAAGACCTACTTTTTACTGAAGATAAAAGTAAAATCTTTTTCAGAAAGCAAGTAAAAAAAATGAGGTTAGAAATCGAAAAATAGTTCGATATTCTGGTACGAAAGTGAGGTTAGAAAGCGAAAAATAGTTCTTAAATGTCATTATTTAAAACTATCTAATAATAATTTGCAATGCCACTCACCTGTATAAGCCAAAACGAGCGTCCCGGACAGCTTTGTGTGGCGCCTGCCAAAATGCGCTTCGGCTTTGACGAGCCCAAATGTACAATACATCCACAGCGACAGCCGGGCCCAATCTCTTGACTGACCTCGGTGCGATTAGCGGCAGTAAAGGTGGCGCCGCTGCTTTCGTAAATACAGTCCCAAGTATCGGCGATGGCATTGCCACATTTTTCGGTCTGCACTGAGGGGCCCTGCAGCAAAGAAAAACAAAAAAAATTAATAAGTTTAAAATTTAAGTTAAAATTAAAAAAATATATATATTCAGAGAGCTTTCAGTATAACAATAAATACTTTATATGCGTTATTTTTGTATTTATTATAAATTTATTAAAATATAAAATAATTTAATTTTTATATCAAAATAATTATATAAAAAAAATATATTTCAATATCTTCAATAAAATAAATTGATTGAAAATTCTTCATCGCCCTCGTCGTACTCCACATCGTAAATAACGCGTGAGCCGG